ATCTGTACCAATGTACATCCTCTGGTCTAGCCAGATTTGCAGGGCAGAACTGGGACCATGATATTGGGGGGTAGGAAGCATTTAAGAACTAGAGGAAAGTTATATGGTGAGGAACCTAATTTTACCACAAAAACTGCATTTAAAATGTGCTGGAAAAGTCAGCTTATACACGAGCATATACAGTATGTTGTTCTTTCCTTTTCTAGGCCTTTGCACATTTCATTTTAATATTTGACTTTGCCTCTTCATGATCCCCTAAGAAATTTTCTATCCAGCTCCTTGACTTCATTTCTTCCATTTGCTTTGGATAGTTACCCTATAATTAGGAACAAGTTTCAGAGTCCCTTCTGTCATCACACGGATCATTTCTTTCTCCAATTTTTGGTTTTTTTAATGATGTTTTGCTTTGGCATCTCATAGCTCATCAGGTCTTCTGTCATTGGTACTCCAGGCATCAAATCTGTTCTTGAGATGTTCTCAACATTCAGGTGGGATAGACCCAGTGTCATATTTTCACTCCTGGGGATTACATTTTTAGTTTTAGCGTGAACTTACATGAGGAATTGAGTCTGTTCCAGTTAGCAACTACCTGGTTTGTCTGCTAACATCAAGCTTTTCCATCATCTCTTCTCATAGAAACTTCATTTTGATTTCTTTGTATTCCATCTAGAGATGGAATCTGTGATGAATACTTGCAAAATTCTATCCTGCAATCTCCTTTCATTTCTATCACCAAGCACCTATTTTCCAACGACTGTTCCCTACAGTTTCCAACTGCATTCTGCATTTCAATAACCAATAGTTATCTCAATCACTAATAGTTAGCAATGATACTGATTTTATGTTTGATCAATTTCTGACAAGTTGTTGGTAAAATTCTTCGATTTCTTTCACTGGCTTTTGTGGTTGGTGCATAAATTTGACTAACTGTTGTACTGACTCTATTTTCTTGAAGGTCAATAGATACAATTTCATCACAAACAGCACTATACTTGAAGAATGATTTTGCAATGGCATTTTAAAAAATGAATGCAATGCCATTTCTCTTGACAGTATAGTAAATCATATAATTTTGATTCAAAATGGCCAATACCAGTCCATATGAGCTCACTGATGGCTAGGATACTTATCTTTATACATTCTTTTTTATCTTTGACCACTTCCAATTATCCTAGATTCATACTTCGCACATTCCAAGTTCTGATCATTAGATTTTTGCAGCTATTTCTTATTACCTTGAGTCATGCCCCACCAAGCAAATGACAATCTTAAAGACCGCATTCCCATAAGTTTTGCTCCATTAATGTCACCATGGTCTACATAACTCCAATAAAACAACTCTTCCGTAGGCACATTTAAAGTACACGCCTATCAGAAGGGTGCACTCGCTGGCACTATGTCAGACAATGTTCTGCTTCCTTTCTATGCAGAAGGCTTTCAGCAGCTATTTCCTCAGAAGTGAGCAGCCGATTCCTTCTTTGTTGTATAGTCTTAGTCTGGAATCTCTACTGAATCTGAACACTTTGGGTGACCCAGGAACATCTGAATTATCAGTGACATAGGTTTCAGCATCACAGCAACACCCAAGCCACCACAGTACACAAACTGACAAATCAAAGGAACAGTAGTCAAGAAGAAACAAACAAATGAAACAAAAATATTATTTTTCTTATTAACTGGTCTGATAGTAGTCCAAAATAACAAGAGCAACAATATAATACATGATTATTACTTATGTATAAGTGAAATGTACAAAAGAAATCCCATAAGGGATGGGATGGAAGGATTAGGATCAGGGTTACTCAAGTGCAAAAAAAAAAAAGAAAAAGGAGCTATATGGAAATTGTTCTTTAAAAAACTGTTCTTTATTGACCATTTCCCATAAACCTTATACAACTCTAAAAAAAAAAGTACACTATAAAATTGAAAGAATACCCAACACAATATTGACAGGTAAGTTCTATGACTATTGTTATCAATTCCCTATACTTTGTCATCTATGAAATTCCAAATTTATAAAATTTTTCTACAATTTTACAGATTATGAAAAAACTGCATACTGGACAGTCATTGCTAAGTTATTCCATATTTTGGAATTAATATCTATGCTCCATTTTTTCATACACTGAAACTTGTAGGTCATGATTTATGTTAAAGAACTCATAAAAAAAGAATGAACTCGTAATGAATAACTTGGTTTTTGTATACTTTTAAAATGAACTTCCCACAGAGCATGGTAGTGGGAAAAGTGGAAACTAAAAGGAAATAGAGGAAAGAACTAGGAGGAAAAGGGCATTTATAGAGGTCTAAACAGACATGTACCTATGTAAATATATTTATAGGACAATGGAGAAATAGATCTACGTGCATGTATTTATAGGTTTAGTATTAAGGTAGCAGATGGACATTGGGCATCCACTCAAGTCCTCCCTCAATGCAAGAACACTTTGTTCTATATTAAACTGGTTGGCATTCCATGATGTTCGCCTTCTCAACACGATCACTGAAGACAAAGCGGGTGCATAAGCAAATGTGGTGAAGAAAACTGATGGTGCCCAGCTATCAAAAGACAGCATCTGAGGTCTTAAAGGCTTGAAGTTAAACAAGTGGGCATCTAGCTAAGAAGCAACAAAGCCCACATGGAAGAAGCACACCAGCTTGTGTGATCACGAGGTGTCGATGGATCAGGTATCAGCCAAAGAACAAAATAACTTATCATTGAGGGGGAGTGTGGGGTGGGGACCCAAAGCACATCTATAGGCAACTGGACATCCCCTTACAGAAGGGTCTCGGGGAGAAAAGCCAGTCAGGGTGCAGTGTAGCAATGATGAAATATACAATTTTCCTCTAGTTCTAAAATGCTTCCTCCCGACCACTATCATGATCCCAATCCTACCTTACAAATCTGGCTAGACCAGAGGATATACACTGGTATAGATAGGAACTGGAAACACAGGGAATCCAGGACAGATGATCCCTTCAGGACCAGTGGTGAGAGTGGTGATACCAGGAGGGTGGAGGGAAAGTAGGATAGAAAGGGGGAACCGATTACAAGGATATATATAACCCCCCTCATTAGCAACAGACAACAAAAAAGTAGGTGAAGGAAGATGTCGGACATGACAAAATAATAATGATTTATAAATTATCAAGGGTTCATGGGGGGGGGGGCGGAGCTGATACCAAGGTCTCAAGTAGAAACCAAATGTTTTGAGGAGGATGATGGCAACAAATGTACAAATGTGCTTGACACAATGAATGCGTGTATGGATTGTGATAAGAGCTATACAAACCCCCAATGAAATGATTTCTAAAAAATAAAATGAACTTCCCTTAAAATTATGAACCACACATGAACACTTCTCTCAATATCATAAGGCAAAATATACTGACTCCTCTCTTCCTATCCCCTTGTCAATCTTACCCCAAACTATGGGTGAAGCTCCACAGCAAAAAAGTACTTTGGGTGTAATTCTTACCCTAACTTTACTGCCTATCATTCCATCTGTACTATCCAAATATCTTCTATACAAAGTCCCTGCTCAATTATTCCACTGTATTTCACTGTATTTTATTCAATTAAGGAGCCCTGGTGGTGTGATTCTTAAGTGCTCAGCAGCTAACCAAAGTTCCATGGCGCAAACCCACCAGTCATTCCATGAGAAAAAGTGGCAATCACTTCCATAAAGACTTACAGCTTTGAAACATTATAGTAGCAGTTGTACTCTGTCTTTTAGGACCACAGTGTATAGGATATCAATTCACTAGCAATGAGTTTAATTTTTTTTTTTCCGCTTACTTTTCTTCTTTAAAGACTTCAACTTATTGGTCATGGTTAAAGAACCAATCAATTTTTAAAAACTCCTACTCTAGGCTCTCCTGCAAATTCTCTTTGTATTAAAATAACAAAAATTTAAGATAAACAATTCCAATTTTCAGTGCTCCCAAAGTCAGTAAAATCACTTGAACTTCAATGTGAAAATCATTCAAAGGAGTTATGATCCAAACTAAAATATTCTTCAGAGGATGTACATAGTCCTCCCAAAATACTGCAAATTAATAAGGTGGCAAGCAAAACTGTCTAATCCATCAATGAGCAGCAGTAATACACATTTTAAGTGAGTATGTACTTCTGTAGTATGGCATTAGCAAGAGTGCTGATAGACACTGAGAAAAGGTCCAGTTACAGCTCTGCCTCAAACCACCAAGTCACTTAAATTCTAACTCCTTATAGTCCTCATGCAATAGTGGAATGATTCTATACCATTTTGCCTGGTACATCCAGTATATGTCTCATAATTATTAATATGCATCCAGTTCACTCATAAAAGTGTCCCTGTCTGGACAATAAGTTATGTGGTCACCTTCAATAATAATTAAGAACTGGATTTTTCAATCTGGGTATAATATGAATTCTCATCTAATTCTCACAGACACCACTACTTAACGCTCATTCAAGAAACCAGAGCTTATATGAAGTAATTTGCCTTAAGGAAATAATCCAAGTAAACATAGGATTCCTCTTAAAAAAAAATTAAGTCTCGTTTCTCATTCAGCAAACAGTGAGAGATTTAAAATAAAACAAGATACAGCACAAAGTGAAAGGTACTACTTTATCATGTGAAAAAGATACATCAATATTTAAGCGTCCATAAGACCATGTTAGCGTTTATGTCTCTGCAATCAGAACCTACGTGGAAGCTATCAGATTTCTGACTGTATCTGTCCTTACCAATTTCAGTCCTGTAAAAAGATACTTGACTTCTTGATTAATGAAGCAGCTAAGTTGAAGCTGATTTTCCTTTCCTTTAGTAACTTCTTCTTCGTCAGATTCTGTACATTTCATGCTTTGTGAGATGAGATAAGGAATATGCCAATAGGTTTCAAGTTCCTAAATAATCTTGACTATAATAAATTATCCTAATGCCACTAAAATTGATATCATTCAGTAGTATTTACAATTGTCTCATAATGAAGTCAATATACTTTAGAATGTTCATTCTCCTACCAACTCTATAAGAATTACTTACTGTACAATGAGTGTGAAATGATGAACTCTAAATGAATGTTAAATTGGTACTCAGCATGATTCTAACATGATTTCAATGGCTCAGACACATAAATAAAATCCTTTTCTAAGTTCTTAACCATGATATAAGAAACCTTAGTGGCACAGTGATTATGTGCTCAGTGGTCAAATGAAAAGTCTTTAGATGGTTGAAACCCATCAGACTCTGCAGCAGAAAAATGTGGTCATCTGCTTTTTTTCTCTTTTTAAAATACAATCTGGGAACACATAGAAAGCAGTTCTACTCTTGTCCTCTAAGGTCGCTGACTCAGAATTCAATGACAATAGCATTTGGACTCATGATGTAAAGCAGTGTTTCCTAAGAGGAAGAAACCACCCCCTGGACAGGGGGTCGCCCAAGGAGAAACATATACTTAATGATCAATATTTCCTTAGGACAGCAAGCCGTTTTCTTCTTTAAATTTAATATGCCAAATTATAAACTATATAATCTTCAAATAAGGTATAGTTCATTCATTCACAAGCACATAAAAAGATGCTAAAAACACCTTTCTATCCTACATTATGGGCTACAGTAAAAACCTTCATTGATGGGACTTGGAGGAAATGAGTAATTTTCTTTGTTGTTCCTGGTTTTTTCTTGTTTGTGTTTCTGAAAAAGGGGGCAGTGGGTCAAATAAGTTTGGGAACCTATGTTCTATAGGACAGTGGGTGCCTAAATTCAAGTTTTATGTATCGGTTCAAACTCATAAACATAGCTTTGTAGATATACTAATTATTTATACACTAATAAAAGTTCTCTATGAAGTTACTTTAAAGAAGATTCTACTAAAGATGCCTGTAAGAAAAAATAGCATCCCTTAGTAAGTGAACATTTATCTGAACTTCAAGATCAATCAAATGAGTGTATTTTTCCAATTACACATTACTTAGGCATAAAAACTTCTGAAGAATTTCTTTACTGCATACCCTGTCTCCCACCCCATTTGTTGCTAATAAATTATGAGTACAATGTATATAAATCTTGATTCATAAGGATACGTTGTTTCAAACTCAACACCAAAGAACTGATCGATTAAACTTTTCTTTTTAGAGGGTGTCACTGCTGATGCAGATGAATCTGTCTGCAAAAAATAAAATGAAACAAAAATCCAATTTTAGTTTACATATACATATCAATACATTGCCAAAAGATTACAGACACGCAATGATATCAATAGATTAAGTTCAATAAATAATATAGTAAATTTAACTTTGAGATGCAAGTTTTCAAATTCTTATTTTGCATTGAGCACCTAAAATACTGGTGTACATGTTTAACTACTAAGCTGAATTTATGCAAAGCCTCGAGAAGGAGGAAAAAACAAAAACATTCAACCAAATATCAAGATATAATGAATGTCTCTAATCACAAATATATGTGGTATTTCATTTACCTCTTTAACAGAATCATCTTCTAAGGCTTCCAGTTTCTGTTGCAATACTCGCATCATTTGTACCCAACATTCATTAGCATCCTGTGATACAAAAAAAGATACAATAGTAATCAAAGTTACTAAGGTATTGGTCTACAAAATTTTACCAAAATGATCACTATTTCCTTTGGCAGAAAGCAGTTTTCATCTTTGAAACGAATATGCCAAATTAGAACTATTACGATCTTACAAATAAGGTAAAGGGTTCTGTAAGTTTGTTCATAAGCACATAAAAGATGCTAAACACCATTAGTCATTAGAGAAATACACATCAAAACTATTAATTCACATACTGCTAGATTGACTATGATATTCCCTGATAGTACAGTGGCTTGGATAAGTGCTTGGTTGCTAATCAAAAGGTCAGCAGTTCAAATCTGATAGATGTGGCCAACTGCTCCAGTAACTACTACAGGCTTGAAACCTATAGGGCAGTGCTCCATCCTAAAGAATCATTATAAGCCAGAATTGACTTGACAGTGGGTAGAATGGTTATTAAAGAATATTAATCCTGGTGATTAATAAAACCCTGGACTGTTAACTAAACGTTAGAGAGTTAGAACTAATGGCTTTGCTGGAGAAACACCAAGTGACCTTCTCCTATAGTAATTTCAGTCTAGGAAACCCTTCAGACCAGTTCTGTGTCATATAAGGTTGTTATGAGTCAGAATCAAGCCAACGGCACAGAACAACAAAATGGCTACTATCAAAATCAAAATGAAATAAACAACAAAAAATATGTCCTAGCAAAGATGTGAAAAAACTGAAACCCTCAAGCATTAATGACAAGAGTATTAAATGGTACTTCTATGAAAACCAGTTTGACAGGCCTTCAAAAGTTAAAGATAAAATTATAATGACTCAGAATTTAGATTCTTGATATATATGGTGGGGGGGGGGGAATTAAACCAGGGACTACAACAGATTTGTACTCCAATGTTCAAAGAATAGAAATAACCTCAGTGTATTATTAACAGATGACGGGATATATATAAAAGGTGATATACATACATATACAATGTACTATTATTCAGCCATAAAAACACAATGACACATGGTTTAATATAAGTGAACTGTGAACTAAGTCAGGCACAAAATAATAAATATTGTATAAGGGGGCTTCAGAAAAATAAAATGTTTCCACAACTTTTTGAAGCCCCTTCAAATGATTCCACTTTTATCAAATATCTAGAATAAACAAATGCATAAAGACCAAAGATAGTAGATAGCGGGGGCTAGGGATAGAGAAGAATGGGTTATTATTGTTTCGAGAGTACTAAGTGTCTGTTTGGGATGATAAAAATCTTTGGATATAGTGGTGATAGTCTACACTGTGACTATAATCAATGCCAGTAAATTATACATACTTAAGAAAAGTTACCAGAAGAGAAATGAGGCTTTCTACTCCCAGAAAGCTGATCATCTTGGAAACCCACAGGGGCAGTTTTATTCTACCCTACTGGGTATCGATGAGTCAGAATCCACTTGATGGGAGTTGGAGGTTTTGGGGTTGTTTTTAAGAATGGTTACAATGGTAACATGTATGTCTATTTTACCACAATAAAAACATTTAAAATGATACAGGTACTATATGCAGAAAAACTAGAGGGAGGCAAACGCAGAAGCAGGATCATTATTTAACAACTAAAATTTAATGGACTGATGTTTGTAATTTCCAAACAGGTACACAAAAAAGGATAACATTTAAAAAAAAAGAAAACATTAACTATAGAAAACCTAAGTTTTATAATTTATAAAATATAGACTACAGAACCTTGACCTAATTACCTGTTGAAGATACTGTCCTTGTTCGCCTTTCTCTGCAAACTGTGGGAAAGCCATGTGCAAAAACTGCAGAAGAATAATGGGTGGAATACTAGAAGAAGTTTTATCCATGGAATCAAACAAATCTCTAAGGGCTTAAAAACAAAGCAAATATTGCCTTAATAAAATAATGACAATACATAGTACCGAATCTTCTTAGTTAATATAAAGAAATACCTATTTAATGACTATTTTTAAGTGTATCTACTCCTTATGAGATTGTTGACCCCTAGTAAAAAAAAGGAAAATATTTAACATCTTAAGTAATACACCAGAAATTTGTTACTAAACAACTTCTGAACTCTGCCTCCCTTTCTCCCCATTTGCCAGTCTTTATTTACTGTGCCAACCAAAGCAAGCTGTATTAATTCAATAGAAAGAACACATAACTTCTGTTGAGGGATCAAATGAACACAATGTGACTTTCCTAGACTATAGGCCAGGCCATTACATCACCACCCCAGCTTACTTACTTCCTGTCTTTAGTTACCAAGTGTTGTTCTAAAAGCAATATTAATTTAACAAACAAATTTAGGAGGCGAAAAGTCTGAATTCATAGTGTCAGCGGTAGGTTTTCCCTGCCAGTTCTTGGAGGACCTTATTTCCATTCAAAATCTGTGAGTTCTGTGTTCCTTGGACCTCCATGGTATCAATCTTTCCCTGGATCTAGGAGGTTCTTAGCGCAGGGAAATTGCGGTCCAAAGGATGCGCTCTACACCTGGTATTTCTTTTTCGTTGGTAGTTAGGTACCTGCCTCTACTTACTTCTTTCCTTTTCTCTCTTTAAGATTGAAGGAAATCCAAGCCACATCAGAGGAAATTCCACTTACATTGGATCAGGGCTGTAACCTGAGCAAGGGTGTTGCATCCCACCCTAATCACTTTCCAAATGATTGGCTGATCACTTCAGCTCACATCATGGAAGATGATTACATCACTACACAGCTGCCAAATTGCATCAGTACATAACCGCCAAACAACTGAAAACCATGGCCCAGCCATATTTATACACAATTTTGGGAGACAAATCTCAACCGTTGACATCTTTCGTAACTCCACAGTTACTTCCCGTCTACTGAATTCTTAACACTGAAATCAGTGTAAGTAAGACATACTTCCTGGCTCATCAAACAACTTGGAGCCCAAACTAATTTGTCTACTTCTTCAAGTTTCCGGTTTATCTCCTGTCACCATCGCAAATCTCATAATCATAAAACTTCAGCTACTCTCCATTCAGTATGGAGAGTATGGAGAATATGCTTTCCTGCTGAATTCATAGCTTTAACACCTTGCCTTTACAGAGGTTGATCCACTAGACTCTCATATGCAGTAAAACGCTAATCTTTATTAGCTTCACTTGTACTGTTTTCTCAGTATGTTAAATATAAAATGTTATCATTATTATATAGACTGAAAGGTGTAGTAGCACAAAGTAGGTGCCCGATAAAATGTTTCTGGATTTTAAAATAAAAGCAAAAATATAACACAAGGTTAGAAAAATATTTCTGAAGGGCTAAAATTTAAGCAACACTATAAAGCTGGGGCTTTTTTTTAATTTAAAAAATATGCCCCCAAAACTACCTACATTCTAGTAACACGTAATGCCTCAAAATAGATACAGGTATTTAATATTTTCTCTGGGTGAGAAAAACAAGGTTATCTGCTCCCACAAAGATTTATAGCCGCAGAAACCTATATCGAGTCACTATGAGTCAGAATCAGCTTGGTGGTCATTGGTTTGGGTTGTATGAATGTTTTGGAGTCACTGGGCGATACAAATAGTAATTGTAGTTGGCTGTTACTAAAAGGCTGGCAGTTCAAGTCCATCAAGTGGTATCTCAGAAGGAAGGGCTGATGAGCTACTTTCACAAAATCAGCCACTAAAAGCCCTATGGTGCACAGTTCTGCTCTGAAACACAAGGGGTCATCAATACTTGGAGCTGACTCTACAGCAACTGGTCATCAGATCAAAAGAGAAAACCAAGAAACAAATCCTAGATATGGGAAGCAAATGAGGGAGGACATTTATATGCAATATGTGATCCTGAATTGGATCTTGAAGCAGAAAGGAATATAAATTCCATAGTGGAAATTAACTGGACAAAACTATGTCATGCCAATGATAAATTCCCACGTTAATATGATGATTGTCTTGGAGTTATGAATGGGCTTTCTCAGGAAACCCACCCTATTATACTCAGGAATAAAAGACATGCCTAAAACTTATTAAAGGGACGCCTAAAACTTATTAAAGAGAGTGAATGATAAACCAAATTCTTAAAAAAATTTTTATAATTTAAAAGTATTATAAAATTTAGTTAGAAAGCTTAAAAGGCAAAATTTTAAAAATATTTCACCCCACTAATAATTAATGTCCATAAACTATACCCCCAAAATGGTTGAGAAAAACTTAATTTCAACAAACCTATTATCAGTTTAAAAAAAATTGTACCGTATATATTCAAGTATAAGCCAACCCAAATATCAGGCGAGGCACCTAATTTTACCACAAAATCTGCATTAGAAATGTGCTGAAAAACTCGGCTTATAAATGAGTAGATACAATAGATACTCTCCCTAACCCAAAAGGACTGAAATTAAGTTTTACTGTTTGTAATATTAAAAACAAACTGATCACAACAATATGAAATGGTCAATAAGCACATGAAGAGATGCTCAGCATTATTCATAGAGGGAATGCAAACCAAAAACCACAATGAGATACCACTCCACACCCAGTAGATAATATATAAAAATGATAAATAATAAGTGCTTGTAAAGAGGTAGAGACTGGAATTCACATACAGGCATTTTGGAAAATAGTTTGGAAGTTCCTCAAAAGTGGGAAACAAACATTTATTACAAAACTTCAAAGGAAAATGAAAACATACAAAGACTTGTATTGTACACAAATGTTCACAGCGGCATTATTTGCAATAGCCAAAATGTGGAAATAATCAAACAATAAATCATGACTGGATAAATGAAATGTCGTATAGTCAGTGTAATATATATTTTTATCAATAAAGAGAAATGTAATACTGATACATGTGACAGTATGAGTGCACCTTAAAAACTGTATGCTAAGTAAAAAAAACTAGTCACAAAAGACTACATAATGTGACTTGATTTATGTGCAAAGTCCACAACAGGCAAAACTACAATGACAAAAAGGAAAGCAATGGCTGCCTAGAACGAAGAGGAATTGGCAGAGGAGGAGGAGTGACTACATAAGTTGGCTTAGGGGTGATGAAAGGTTCTACAACTGAATGTGGTGAAGGCTGCACAACTGTGAATATTCCAAAAACAATGAGTTCTACACTTTGAATGAGCAAGCTATCTAGTATGTCAATTACATTTCAACAGAACTGTTGTTATAAAAGATAAATATGAAGCCAAAGTTACAGTTCTATCAAGTGACATTTGGATTATTTTTCCAAAAGGACAGCTATGACTGGTTTATAATTTAGTTCCAAGTGGTTTAATGTAAGCACTCCAATATCAGTGATGTTTTAAAAAACACAGTGTAAAAGAAAAGACACTAAATAAATTGTGAATGAAAAGAGTTATGTATATATTTGCTACAATCCTCTCTCAAAACTATTTTATTTAATTAAGATACTGACCTGCAGTAATATACTGTGCTGAAGCCATTTCCCCTGAAGCTCTTAAGGCACCTGCATACCTAGAAAAGTTAAGGTAGAATTAAATACTAATAGGATTCAATTTAGTCTGAGACTCAAATGGAGAGACCAATTAAAAGGACTGACCACTTACTATACCACCCACAATCTCATTTGCTGATGGGGCATGACTCAAAATGAGAAGAAACAGCTGCAAATATCTATTAATAATTGGAAGCTGGAATGTACTGAGTATGAATGTAGGAAAATTGGAAGTCATCAAAAATGAAATGAACACATATGCTAGGAATCAATGAACTTATATAGACTTGTCTTGGCCAGTTTTAATAAGACAATATTATGGTTTACTAAGGTGCCCTGGTGGTGAGAGTTGGGCTACTAACCACAAGGTCAGCAATTCAAAACCACAGCCACTCCATGGGACAAAGATGAGGCTTTCTACTCCTGTAAAGATATAGTCTCGGCAACCCCCAGGGGCAATTCTACCCTGTCTTATAGGGTCACTGAGTCGGCATTGACTCGATTGCAGTGAGATAGTTTAACATGCTGGGAATGAGAGTCAAAAGGAATGGTGTCATATTCATCACCAAAAGGATATTTATTATCAAGATCTATGGCGATGTACAAAGATGTCTGTTATAGAATGCTATCTGCTTGCATACGGAAATGCAGTTATACAAGTATCCTTAACATTTATGCACAAATCACAAAAGCTTCAAACTAAAAACCAGAGTCACTGTCATCAATCAGGGATTTCCTAGATTGTAACTATTCATAGGAGTAGAAAGCCTCCTCCTCTTTCTCCCCCATGAAAGCTGGTGATGCAGAAATTTAAGAACTTTACCAACATCTTCAGTCTGAAATTGACCAAACAGGCAATCAAGATGCATTGATAATTAATGGCTATTGAAATGTAAAAGCTGGAAACAGTGGAAAGAACAGCAGTTGGAAAATATGGTCTTGGTGACAGAAACAAAGCTGGAGACGGCATGAGAGAATTTTACAAGACCAATGACTTCTTCATGACAAATGCCTTTTTTAGCAACAAAGGCATTATGCTACACAAGGGCTTCCCCAGATGAACTGCACAAATCGAAATGTCCACATCTGAGGGAGATGGAGAAGGGATTATCAGCAGCTAAAATAAGGCCAAGGTCTACTGTGGAACAGAACATCAATTGTTCATATGTAAGTTCAAGCTGAAGCTAAAGAAAACTAAGACAAGTCCATGGGCCAAAAACAACCTTGAGTATTTCCCACATGTATTTCCAGAATTTCTCTCTAAAGGTAACGCACTGAACAATAATAGTAGAAACCTGAGATGTTGTGGGATGAAATCAAGAATATCATATATGAAGAAAGCAGAAAGGTCATTAAAAAGACCGGAAAGAAAGATCAAAGTAGAGGTCAGAAGTGACTCTAAAACTTGCTCCTGATCGTAGAGTAACTAAAGCAAATGGAAGAAATGATGAAGAGCTAAAGAAGACATTTCAAAGGGCAAACTCAAGAAGACAAAGGAAAATATTATAAGGTAACCTGTAGTTAGACAGCCCCACACGCAAAAAGGGGGAATAATATGTTCACCATTATCTTAAACAAAAATAATTATAGAAATAATTCAAGCCCCAAGTTGCAATAACAAAAGATTCTATGAACAAAATAATGAACAATGCAGGAAGCATCAAAATAGGTAAATAGTCTTTGTACCAAAAAGACCTAGTCAACATTCTTCCATCTCAGGAGGTAACATATGATCATGAATCAATGGTACTGAAGGAAGAAGTTCAATCAGCACTGAAGGCATGAGCCATGGAATATCAATTGAAAGTTCAACTAACTGATGAAGCACTGGAAGCACGCACTTGTGTATGCCCAGAAATTCAGAAGAAAGCTACTTGGTCAACTAATCATATTTGTGTCCATTCCAAAGATGACCCAACAGAACGCTCAAACTATAGAACATCATTGATATCACATGTAAGAAAGATTTGGCTGAAGATCATCCAAGGATGGTTGCAGCAGTACATTGACAGGGAGCTGCCACAAATTCAGGCTGGATTCAGAAGGAAATGGACCAAGATAACATTGCTGATGTCAGATGGATCTTAGATCAAAACAGAGAATACCAGAAAGATGTTTACTTGTGTTTCATTAACTATGCAAATGTCAGATGGATCTTAGATCAAAACAGAGAATACCAGCAATATGTTTGTTTCATTAACTATGCAAATGTATTCAACTGTGTGAGTCATAAGCTGTGGATCACGTTGGGAAGAATGGGAATTCTAGAACACTTTATTATGCTCCTGCAGAACCTGTACACATATCAGGGGGCAACTGTACAAAAAAAAACAAATACTGCCTAGTTTACAATCAGGAAAGGTGTGTGTCACGGCTGAATTCTTTCTCCATATTTATGCTAAGCGAACCATCAGAGAAGCTGGATTCTATGAAGAAGAATATGGCATCAGGATTGGAAGAAGGCTTATTAACCTGTAATATACACAGGTGACATAACCTTCCTTGCCAAAAATGAGTACTTGAAGCACTTGCTGATGAAGATCAAGGATTGCAGCCTTCAGTATGGATGGCAACTCAATGTAAAGAGAACTAAAATCCTAACAACTGGACCAATAGGGAACATCCTATAAATGGGAAAAAGATTGAAGTTGTCATGGATTTCTTCTTGCTTGGATCCAAAAATCAATGCTCACGGAAGCAGCAGTCAAGAGATCAAACGATAGACTGCACTGGGTAAATCTGCTACTTAAAGATATCTTAGATATCTTTATAATGTTGAAAAGCAAAGGTGTTACTTTGAGGCCCAAGGTGTGCCTGACATAGGCCATGGTATTTTTAATTGTTTCATCATATGCACATAAACACAGAACACTGAATAAGGAAGCCAAGAGTCAGTGCATTTGAATTATGCTGCTGGCAAAGACTACTGAAAGGAGCACAGACTGCCAAAAGAACAGAGCTGTCTTGGAAGAAGTACAGTCAGAACACTCCTTGGAGACAAGTATAGCGGTAGTTTGTTTCATGTACTTTGCACATGTTACCAGGAGATAAATAAGGTACCTTATAAAAAAGTACGTGGAACTCTTCTGGGAATGAAACTAGGCAAATTAAGGTGTAGGAGACCGTAACATAGGGACTGGTCATGAGCCACCCCCAAGGTGGAAAGGGGGCTCTCACCACCATCAAGAAAAATGAGCCAGTGTGTCCCTGTACTAAACTTTCACAGTCCATGAGATAGAGAGCTGTGACCCAAATGAGAGGCAATAGTAGAGCAGCAGCAGCAGCATTGGTAGATGCAGCAAAACAAGGATACCAGCAGGGGATAGTGTGGTGGGCTTCCAGAGCTACAGACTACAAAAGTAAGTACAGAAGGTTTGCTGGCAGTCAGATGCCTCCAGACACTTGGTGGAGCTAAGTTTCCTGATTCATGGAGTTAAAATTGATCACTTTCAGGGTGAAGTGGAGTGGGTGTCCCTGTACACAAAAACAAACCAAAAAAACCAAAGTCACTGCCATTAGGTCAATGCTGACTCATAGAGACCCTATAAAACAGGGCAGAACTGCCCACTGGAGTTCTTCAAAGGCTATAACTCTTTACTGGATTAGAAAGTCCTGTCTTGCGGATCCAGGCCCAAAGCATAACCACTACTGCCGCCAGGGTTCCTTGCACACAAAACAGAGCGATCTAAAAGGCCTTTGTAACACTTGTCCAAGCAGGGCAGCGGCCAAGAGGTTACATGGCTCAGAGTCTTAAATGAATAAATCTTATAGTAGCTCAATAAAGCTGTTTACAAACATTTAACACAGCTTTACTCACCCACATCTGAACCTCAAAGACTTAATTAAAACTTTTTCTTGAACCTTACCTTTTAAGAGCATCTTTGAGTTCAGGCACAGAACGGATACACTGAACTGTAGCATTCATGTAACAAGTGTTACCCAGGTTTGTCAATCCACATGGCAATTCCATCTGATGTGAAAAAAATAATTAGATAATATTTATAAATGAATTAACATGGTATATATTAAAAAACAACTTCAGAGTCTGAGGCAAGTTACACACCAACCCCTATTATTTTAGTCCACTTTCCTCCGAAAGTGACACGTTTATTTCCCTCACCAGAAGCTTTTACTTACATCATGCTAACAATCATCCCATCTTCTTGAAAACACTGAGACTGTATCAAGCCAGCCTCCTCCAGGTTTGTGAAAATGGTTGTCAAAAGCATTAGCACAAAAAGTAAAGAAGTAGCACTGCATGTATGCTGCACAGTTAATAATTTGCACTGAAGGATTTATCTATTAAATTAAGAATACAGTGTACGTATTTTCAATAAGGAGATTTTTTTTAACTTAAACATACCAGTAATTAGCCAATTTAATCCCTTTGAGCCTGTCTTCTGAAAAAATAGTAAATACTTAAGGGTTGATTAATTACCAGACACAGTAGATACTGCCTTTGTATATGTGTGAATGTATGTGCATACCTTACAATCCCCATCTGTAATTTAAGGTTAATTATAATACCTACAGCTCAGTTTCAGAAATTAGAAAATTGTAAATTACAGACCATATTCAATGCTATACATAAATTTAATTTAACCCATTTGTAAATTAGAAAGGCAATAGTCAAAGTATACAAAAAGAAAAAGAAAAACACTAATTTATAAATTATCTGACTAGAAAAGGACTCTCAGGCAACTACAAAAATGAAAACTAATGACCTGTGAAATTAGACATCCTGACATCAATGACTAAATATTAAAAATATTTAGGCCTAACTTTCTGAATGGCATCCTGATTGTCCTTTGAAAAGTACTTATCTAACGTAAGATGTAGTGTGGCTTACAGCAGACGCTAACTGCTCTTCTGTCATGTCTTCGACAAAGATGGTTTTAGCTGCGGGTTCCTCAGGAAGCGCGTCGGCCGAGCCCATCATGAGCAGATTCATTCCCTGTTTCAAAAACAGTCATTTCACAAAATCCATTAAAGCTAATGCTTACGCCCAATGAAAGACACCAGACAAAAAAATAAAATACATACTACATGATTCTACTGATGCAAAATGTCCAAAAAAGGCAAATCTACAAAGACTAGTGGTTGCCAGGAGCTGGGTTGGAAGGAAAAATGAGAGGTGACTTTTGTGATCCTAAGATTTTTTTCGGGGGTGATAGAAACATTTTAAAGTTATATTGCAAGATGGCTACACAACTCTATACATACACTAAAAAGAAAAAAAAAAAAAGGTACAGAGGTGGTGGCTGCCAGAGCCAGGGGTTACCTGCTTATCTGCAAAGGGGAATGAGGAAACTTTTTAGAGAAATGAAACTTCTTTATCTTGATTGTGATGGAAGTTACAAGATTACTTAAATTCAATGGAAAGGTTACCTAAATGTATAAAAGTACATAAATTCATCAAAATGAAAAAAAAATCATCAAAATGTACACTAAAAAAAAAGATGAATTTTATTGTATGTGATACCACAATAAAGCTTAGGACAGGGTACACCCACTCAGTTAGCATAACACAATTCACAAGCACAATGTTCTGCAATTGAGCTCTTAAAACATTATGAGCAGCCATCTAAGGTACGATGGTCTCTCTGTCCAGAGGAAGTGTAAAGAAACTCAGAGGCACATGTAAATAATTAGTTCAATGGACTAATGGGCCACCTGGAGCTCAGCCTTTTATGACCATGAAACCAATTCAAGATGCTGCTCAGTTACCACCACCTGCTACCACCACCTGCTTGCTCTCTAAGAGATCACACAGATCTATCCAGAGGTCCTGGATGGAGTAGGAGAAAAATACATTAGAACAGAACTCAAAATCATCAGGCTTACTAGTTGGAAAGAGACTGCTGGAATCCTCAAGACTATGCTCCTTTTTAGCCACCCTTCAGGTTTGGAACTAAACGCATGCCTGGGACTCAATTTTCAGCCAAATAATACACAGGCCTAAAAGGAGAACAGTAATACTAGGGATACTAACACCTTAGAATAATCAGCCATTTGCAATCAAAGGGGCTGCATCTATCCCAGGATAAAGATCACAGAGTTAGGAGAGCAAAAAAATAAAAACAGGAAACACAGGGCAGAAGAATGGGATACATGATGTTATATTGTAGGGATTGCATTAATGATATGATAAAAAAATATGTAAGAATTATAGAATGGAAACATTATCTCTGTGCACCTTCACTCAATTCACAATAAAGATTTTAAAAATATAAACAAAGCTGGGGGGTGGGGTAAGAGTTCTCAAATGATCATTAATACTTAGTGATAATTCTCACTATAACAAATTGTCCAATCACTGACAACACTCACTCTGTAAATGTCTATTGTTTAACAATGATTTAAAACAAAAACATCAGTGCCATCAAGTCAATGCTGACACCTATGACCCCTTCTGGGATTCCTGGCCTGTAACTACTGAGAGCTGCTGGTGGTTCCAAATTGCTGATCATGCGATCGCAGCCCATCGAGTAAGCACTATGCCACCAGAACTCCGTAGCAAGAATTACTTACATTTAAATCTAAGATTTTCAGAAAAGTAAAACCCATCTTTTCAAACACCAAATGAAAACAGAGTACCTTAATACAAAATATCTAATTTTAAATTCTATGTATATTAACCTCAATATGAGAAAAACCTGCTGCAAAAAATCAACAGAATGTACGAAGTATGACTAGAAAATTTGGAAGTCATCAAAACTGAAAGGAACACATAAAAATTAGGTGCTAGTGAGCTGAAATGGACCTGTTCGGACCATTTTGATTCAGATAGTGAGAAAAACACAATCCAGAGAAATGGTGCTGTGTTGTCAAAAAGGACACTTTAAGACCGATCATGAAGCGCACAATGCTATCTGTGAAAAGTAGGAATGAGCTCTGGCAGTGCAGTTACACAATGGGCTAGCCGCAAGATTAGTCATTTGAAAGCCCAGCTGCTTCACAGGAGAGAACTGAGGCTTCCTACTCCCATAAAGGGTTCTGGAAACCCACAGGGGCAGCTCTACTCTGTCCTTGACGAGGTGGCTGTGACTTGCACTCTGTAAGGCATTGAGTTTGCTTTTTTCCTTTGTCATACATTGAGACAAGGTACCTTGGTGGCTCAGTGGATGAAGATCTTGGCTGCTAAGCAAAAGGTTGGCAATTTGCACCGACCAGCAGATCCACAGCAGATGGATCTCTTTCCGTAAAGATCTTTAACTCTGGTAGCTCAATTTCCATCTGTTTTAGATATCAATTTCCATAGTGGCTGTACACACCTACAGGTCCACCAGCAGTGGATGAGAATTCCAATCTTAGCACAGCCCCTCCAACACTTGTTCCTTTCTGATTTTTTGAATTGGGCTATCTTGAGGGTGTGAGGTGGTATCTCACTGCTGTTTTAATTTGCATTTCTCTTATGGCTAATGATCAAGAACATTGCTCATATGTTTGTTGGCCATTCGGACTTCTGTCCCTGTGAAACTTCTGTTCAGGTCCTTTGCCCACCGCCTCAGTGGGCAATTAGGTTTTTTCTTTTTGGAAGCTAGCAGAGTATTGCAGATTTTATCAATAAGGCCTTTGTCTGATGTGTCATTCATTCATTATAATGATGTTTTCCCAGTCCATGGGCTCTCTTGTTACTCTCTTGGTGAATTATTTCAATGTACACAGGTGTTTTATCTTCAGTATATCCCACGTGTCAATTAGTGATTCATATGTATTTGTGTCCTTCCCTATTTCTGATAGCCTATGTATTGCCTGCACCAAAGTTCTCCCCTACTGGGCATGCGCCCAGAAGAGGCAAGAAACAAACCACGGCCAGACATCTGTGCTCCAGTGTTCATCGTGGCACAGTTCACAATTACAAGGAGTTGGAAACAACCCAAATTTCCATCAACAGACGAATGGATTAAAAACTGTGGTACATACATACATACAATGGAGTGCTATGCATCTCTAAAAAGGAGTGATGAAAAAAAAATTTTTTTTAATTAAAAAAAATAAAAAGGAGTGATGAACACACAAAGCACAGCACCGATAAGAAGAACTGGAGGAAATTATGCTAAGCGAAGTAAGCCAAGCACAAAAGGTCAAGTACAACATGAGTCTGCAGAGGTCAGCTTCAAAAAAAAAGCAAAAGTGGCATGGGGAAAAAGTTACTGTATACAAACATTCCTGGGGTGAGGTCCAGGTAGTACGGCAAGGGCCAGATCAAATCCAGGGATAGACAACTAAAAAGGAGAGGGGAAAAAAGGGGGCGGGGTGGGAGAAGACATGGGTAGTGGGGGAACAGAGCACTAACCCACCCAAGGGGAGGGTATTGTTTATATCTCCATAGGGAAAGAGGGACCAGCCTTCAACCCAGTGCTCCAAGATGTGAATGCAACAATACCAGCATGAAGCAGGGAACCAATAGAGAGGTCTAAGGGGCCGGCCCCAATCCGAACTATGTGGACAATTCCCCTACCCACCAGAAGAATTTACTTCAGAGGACAGCACTGAAGCTACACAGGAGCAAATGAAGGGTGAGGAAGAGAGTGGAGAACATCCTGGCCCACCAAGCCTTGAGGTCGCTATCCCTGCTCAGAGTAGCCAATGCAGAGACCATATGGCCAGCCCCATTATGAAACACGACATCCCTCACTGACCCATAGCCCTACAAAGGACAACACTGGACACACAGTACGGGAATTGCGCACTATCTGACCCCACCACACTGAGGCAAAACACTAAGGGTATGCAACAGAACAGCAAGGGGATCAGAGCAAGGAAGTCCAAGGGAATACCAAAAATAGACTTTGGGGCCAGGGCATGGCGCCCCATCAGACTTGACCAGAAAACACTCCTAAAGGTCAACAAACACACCTTGAACTATTTACAGGCTCTTTTTTTTGTCATTATTTTTTTGGTGGTGTTTTGTTTTCTTTTGTTGCTTTGTTTTGCTGTCTTGTTTTTTGTGCATATTATTATCTCTGCAGGTCTATCTGGATAAGATACGAGGGATAAACAAGCCAGAAGAGAAAATTACAGGACGACAGTTCCCGGGGAACATGGGAGAGGGGAAGGCGGAGGGAAAGGAAGTTGGCGTTAACAAACCCGGGGACAAGGGAACAACAAGTGATTCAAAATGGATGGCAAAGAGGGTGCAGGAGGACTGGTAGGGCTTGATCAAGGGCACTATAACCCAGAGGAATTACAGAAACCCAAATGAAGACTGAACATGATAGTGGAACAAGAGGAAAGTATAAGGAAATAGAGGATAGAACTAGGAGGAAAAGGGCATTTATAAAGGTCTAAATACAGGCATGTATATATGTAAGTATATTTATATATGACAATGGGAAAATAGATCTATGTGAATATATTTATGGATTTAGTATTAAAGTAGCAGATGGACATTGGGCCTCTACTCAAGTACTCCCTCAATGCAAGAACACTTTGTTCTATTAAATTGGCATTCTATGATGCTCACCGGCCCGACACAATTGATGAAGACAAATGGGTGCATAAGCAAATGTGAAGAAAGTTGATGGTGCCCGGCTATCAAAAGATATAGCATCTGGGGTCTTAAAGACTTGAAGGTAAACAAGCGGCCATCTAGCTCAGAAGCAACAAAGCCCACATGGAAGAAGCACACCAGCCTGTGTGATCACGAGGTGTCAAAGGGATCAGGTATCAGGCATCAAAGAACAAAAAATCGTATCATTGTGAATGAGAGGGAGTGCGGAGAGGGGACCCAAAGCCCATCTGTAGGCAAATGGACATCCCCTGACAGAAGGCTGCAGGGAGGAGACGAGCCAGTCAGGGTGCAGTGTAGCAATGATGAAACATACAACTTTCCTCTAGTTCCTAAATGCTTCCTCTCCACCCAATATCATGATCTCAATTCTACCTTACAAATCCAACACAAGTCAATGCAAAAAGGAAAGTATTTTCAACAAATGATGCTAAAACTACTAAACACAAACACAGGGGAAAGTCATTTGCAATTTACTTTAGAATAATAATTAGAAAACTTCACTAGATATGTTTTGGTTATTAATACTTACATTTTTTATTTTGATGTTTCCCCAGTCATCATCCTGTTTTAAAAACAAAGAAAAAGCATTCAATCATTTCTGTAAAATTTAAATATAATCTCATAATCAACTAACTTTTAAGCTACTTCAACATAGAATAAAATGTATTCGGTATAGATACATTATTTTAAATTAAAGCAAAGAAAATTTAAGTATGCACAGACATACAGCTAGTGTATGACACTGGTTTAAACTACACAGAAGATAATTTACTAATATAGAAAATAGTAAGTGATGGCAAGGAGGCACAGAAATAGAAATCCTGGTATACTGCAGGGTGGAAATGTACAATAGTCTAGATGCTGCAGAGAATGGGCTGGCTGTCTTTCAAAAAATACTGTTTGGGATAAATAGTATCTAGCCCTAAAGAATTGAAAACAGGGACTAACACAAGTATCTATCCATACACCAATGTTTCTGCAGCACCATTCACAGTAGTCAAAGGGTGAAACAAACAACCAAGTGTCCATCGGGAGCTGAATGAATTATTCAGCCACAGCAAAATGAAATTCTGACACATGGTATGACATTCATGAACCTTGAGAGCATTATGCTAAGTGAAATAAGTCAGACACAAAAGGGAAAATATTGTATGATTCCACTTAATGTGAAATATCTTAAGTAAATTTAAAAACCAACATTTTACATCTAACCCATGAAGTATTAAAAACAAAAAAACTACACTTATATCATATTGTGCACAATATTAAAGAAAGTAACTTTTTTGTGGCCCCCTTATCAAGGATGTATGGGCCCTGGTGGTACTGAGGTTAAAGCACTCTGCTACTAACCAAGAGGTCAGTGGTGCAAACCCACCAGTCACACAGGGGAGGTCTTCCAGTCCCATCAAGATCTATAATCTAGGAAACCCTCTGGGCAGCTCTACTCTCTTCTCCATGGTCACTCATCTTCAAAACGCTTGGTTTTGGTTTCATGGACAATGTAGGTTTAACCATAGACTGATCATTCCAGGGGGAAAGAATAAATTAAGGTCCTTCTCTTTTAATCAATATTTTTCTTCTCCCATCTCCAGGTAGAAGTTAGTGATTGATCTTAAGAGAAAGGAGCTCTCCTTTAATGAACAGGAAACAAGAAGAAAGAGCAATGGAAAAATTGTTAACGTGTTTCAATGATCCAGAGCCAGCTCTGTAGTAAAGATGTTGAAGCATTAAATTTATACATTCGAATACACAACACATTGTGCAGTAGTAATCTTTTAAAAACCCATTGTTTCACATTTTTAATTAAAACAAGTTTTCTATCCTTGTAACAGAAATGCACTAAGGAAATACAGATAACCTTTTATTTTAATCTAAACAAAATAAAACCAAACTTTTAATCTCTTCCTCACAGGAAAAAAATCGAAACTGTTCAGATAAATGGAAAGTCTGCTAATCCCTTGACCCCCCACAGACCTCCACTGACACATGCATTTTAAAATGAAAATAATCCTTTTCTAATAGTGTTTTGAAATAGTTACAAAAAATATTCCTCACACTACACAAATATAGAATCCTTTGTCACTTGAGTTGAATCCAGCTCATGCTGACCACGTGTATTTTACCTTTTCAATTCAATGACAACATATTCTACACACACACACATACACACACACACAGCCTCAAATAGTACATTAACACTAAACACATTTTCTGGTGTTAATTTTTATCATTAATCTATAATAATGAGATGACATGAAAAATGGACAGAATTTTACCTTCAATGTTCCTCCTTTCACCATGACTTTCTGTCTGGCTGGTTGGACTCCAGTCAATGCAAAGAGCTGAGCCTTGAATACCATTGGAGGTTCATCAGTATTCAATTCTACACCTTCAAATTTCTCCTTTCCCCATTTTACAGTAACTGCAAACAAATGTTTTTAAAATTACTTTTCACTTGTAAAATAATAAGATTTTAAATGTAGGCGCTCCTTAGAGGATCACCTAACTTATTTAAGTTTGGTCGTGAAAGCCAATGAATGCCATTCACCTCCTTATCTTCATCATACCCAACTGAAGGCTTTCATTCAGAACATCAGTCCTTAACTTGCTAAATCTAATACAACTCCTCATTAGATAAATAAGGAAACTGAGAATTACAAGAAGTTGATTGATTTTCTAATATCACAAAAATCACTGCTGTTGAGTTAAAGTTACAAAACTGGTTAGTAAATATACAAGCCTTCTGAAACCTGCTCCAATAGTCTCTACAAAATATGATGACACTGAGCATTTTCTAAAATATGCTTCTTTTGGCATGTGTTTAGTATGCATCAAAATCAGTACATACTATCAGAAGAGAGAGGAAAAGAATGTTAGAACAATAGTTTAAGCATGAGAAAATCAAATTCTTGGGAGAATAAAGCACACTTAGAACCAGTTAGGAGTTCCTGCTTGGTGCAAATGGTGAGGTGTGAATCATGCAGTCCAAGCTGAACTGTTGGCAGTTCAAATCCACCCAGAGTGCCTCAAAAGAAAGCCTGAAAACAAAAATGTTTTTAATTAAAAAAAAAAAGGCTGGTGACCAATTTACTTCTTTTTGAAAAGTGAACCACTGAACCAAAGTGATCTACAGATTCAATGTAATCCCTATAAGAATCCCAACAGCTTTCTTTGTAGAAATAGAAAAATCACTCTTTAAATTTATATTGACAAACAAGATGTCCCAATAGCTAAAACGATGCTGAAAGAGAAGAATAAAGTTGAACTCACTTCCTGATTCCAGTTACAGTAATCCAAACAGCCAAGAACTTGGTGTAACAACGGACATACAAACCCACTATCATGATCCCAATTCTACCTTGCAAATCCAGCTAGACCAGAAGATGTACACTGGTACAGATAGGAACTGGAAACAGGAAATCCAGGGCGGATGACCCCTTCAGAACCAGTGGTGAGAGAGTGGCGATACCAGGAGGGTGGAAGGAGTGTGGGGTGGAAAGGGGGAACCAATTACAAGGATCTACATGTGACCTCCTCCCTGGGGACAGACAACAGAAAAGTGGGTGAAGGGAGACGTCGGACAGTGCAAGATATGACAAAATAATAATTTATAAATTATCAAGGGTTCATGAGGGAAGGGGAAGTGGGGAGGGAGTGGGAAAAGGGAGGATGTGATACCAGGGGCTTATGTGGACAGCAAGTGTTGAGAATGATTAGGGTAGCGAATGTACAAATGTGCTTTACACAATTGATGTATATATGGATTGTGATAAGAGTTGTATGAGCTCCCAATAAAAAATGATTTAAGAAAAAGAGAGAGAGAGAGGCAGGGGAAGAAAGTTTACATGTGTAGTGGTTAACAGTACAACAGCAATGTTATAAAACACTACAGGAGCACAGAGGAAGGCTTCATGAGTAAGGTTAAGGTTTCAGAGAGGAAGTGATAACTGAAAGAAAAAAAATAGGTATTAGCCAAAGAATGAGAGAGAATGAGTATTCCTGGGTAAGAAGACAAGATACATTCGAATGCACATAATGCGTATGTGTTAAGAGGGAATTCCCAGAGTGAAAAAAGTGTAGCAAAGTGGCGGCTAGAGAAGAATCAAGAAAGGTAGCATGGCTCGTGGTAAAATATATGAAGAAATGTGTACTCCCTGAAAGGTTTCTTAAGGGTTACTGTAGTCTGATTTGAATATTTTATCACTCTAGCAGCAACAGGAAAAATGAACATTACACCCTTACTCACTGATATCAGCTAGCAACATATTACAACAGCTCAAGTAAAAAATAGTGATATAGAACTAGACCAAACTAGTGTTAGAAATTATGACAAGGAAACCTATCTGAAATTTACTGTCTCACCCTGAGCAAGTTAAACTTTTTACATATCCATGAAAGGGAAATCCCAACATCACAGAATTATCAAAACAATGCAACAGAATAATTTTTTTGCAAGGCTAAAACAAAGCAACATGCATAAATCTCTAGCTCTTTGCCAGGCATATAGCAGGTTCTCAATAATTTTTATGGCAGTTATTCGATTGAAGGCATCGTAGAAACCTACTTCAATCTCCTCATTTTGGTGATGAGGAAAAGATTCAATTAGGCCCATAAAATATTTAAATGTGACCTCCTCCCTGGGGGATGGACAACAGAAAAGTGGGTGAAGGGAGACGTCAGACAAGGCAAGATATGACAAAATAATAATTTATAAATTATCAAGGGTTCATGAGGGAGGGGG